ATCATCCTTGCTTTGAGGAAATGGTTTTAAGGAATCTGAGAAGGGAAGTGAAATGATAGCAGGCGCTGGGGTTCCAGACAAAGCGAGGATCCTAATTATTCACAGAGTGGGACCAGGCTGGGAGCAGGCTGGGGGGCAGAGCGGCACTGCTGAGACAGGCCTTCTGCAAAACAGCCAGCCTTGGCCGGAAGTCGTCTTCCTTTTATTTCTTTTCTCCCAAGGAAGTGGATGGAACATTGCTGGTCCAGGGCCCTGGGCTTGGAATTTAGGGTGGCAGATGCTGCTGTCTCCATCAGCATCACAGCTGTTGGAGTTTTATAAGCAAAACATGCTCGAGTTCACACAAAGCCATCTGATAGCAAATACCCATAGCCCAATGTGGCTGGAGACTGGGAACCCCCTTCTCTCCTCTGCATGGCTCCCTCCCACCCCACAGGGACCCTGAGTCGTTGTCATGAGTCAGAACCACCTTATGCACCTGGCTTTCAGAGGTGCCCACCGAAGGGAAGGGCTGTGGAGGGGGAGTACCTGCCTGCCAGTCTGGACAATCACGGCTCCCTTGGGCAAACCACACATGCAGTCTGGGTCTCCTCACCAGCAGCGTGGGTGCAGTAACGGCACCCAGCCCCTTCCCATCCTAGATGGTTGCTGTGGATTCCCTACAGGGCCGAGGAGAACTGCCTCAGCCACTGTCTTTACAGAAGGCACTCCGGTGGCACTCACCTGCTAACTGAAAGGTGGGTACTTCGAGCCCACCACCCGCTCCGTATCAGCAAATCTATCCTGGAAGAACTACAGACAGAAAGCTCCTTAGAAGTGAGGACACTGACACTTCTCACATACTTCGGACATGTTGTCTAGAGAGAGACCTTCATAAAGTGGATGGTCGGCGAAAAAGAGGAAGACCCCCAAAGGGATGGATCGGCCCAGTGGCTGTAACCGTGTGCTCACATACGGCAGACAGTGAGGACGGCGCAGTCTGGATAGGGCTACGTTCTGTTGTTCACGCGGACACACCTAACGTGGACAAACTGTTGTTCATGTGGTCCCTACCAGTCACACACACCTTACAACAACAACATCCCATGTGCTCATAAATTAGAGCGGGTAAGTCAAAAAGTACTGCTACAAAATCATAGGCCCCTTTATGCAGCAGAAACAGCACGATGTGAAGCTATTGCTTCTTGACATGGCCTCCACCTTGGCCTCTATGCTTCTGCGGGGAGGCTTCCATGTCTCTAACCTGGAGTCCTGGGGTGGCGCTGTGGGTGATGTGCTGGACTGCAAAGTCAGTGTGAACTACAAGGTCAGCGGTTCAAACTCACCAGTCGCTCCTCAGAAACCCTATACAGGGCACTTACCACCACCACCAACATCAACCCTTCCGTGAACAATTCTGCGCTCTTCAGTTTATACCAAGTCAAAATAGACGTTCTGGAGTTCTTAAGGAACTCAAATCATGTTCTTTTAAAATGTTCTCTGGGTCTCGGTGTCAAAAAGAAATCTGAAGGCCCAAGATGAGGGCTGTAGGGTGGATGGAGTGAAGCTTCACAATATACTTTCCTGGGACAGGACTTGCTACCCTCAGAGAAGGATCCGGCGCATTGTCACTATGGAAAAAAGATTGCTTGGCACAACTTTCCCAGCATTTTTCTCACCAATGCAGTTTTTAGTTTCCTTCAAGCATCTTCAAAGTAAGTCCCTGTGGTCTTCCGTGTCTTTTATTTTTTTTTTTAACCTTTAAAAATTGCTTTAATCGTAAATAAGTAATCAGAATGACTAGTGGGCGGGCTTATAATATATATGAGATGTCACAAATATGCGTGTCGGTGGATAGTTGCAGACAAGTTCTCTCAGTAACACACTTGTCTTTGTCTCATGAGAGGTGACTTATAACAAAGGGGTCCAATCAACCAAGGGGGGTCTGTGGGCCAGTTACATTCGAGGTAGAGAGGTCAACTCAGAAGGTCATGGGGTTATAAAGACTGTGTTTCGGGACACTTGATAGATGGAGAATCTTAACAGATTTTTCTCAAAGGATACAGGATGATCACAGGAACTTATTATAAAGACATTTTCAGAAAACTGAAAACCGCATTGGTGAGAAAAAGGCCAAGAAAATTGTGCTGAGGAATTATTCCCACCATGATGACGCACCTGGTTATTCTTCAAAGATAGCTAGGGCTATCCTATGAGAATATAACAGGAAAACCTTACCCACCCACACTACAGCCCCGAGCTTGTCCCTTCAGATTCTTTTATCCCCTAAAACTAAAAGAACATTTCAAAGGAACATGACTGCAGTTCCTCCAAGATGACCACCCTGCCATTTTGATGTCGTGTAAATAGGGGAGGGTTGATTTCTTCAAAGGAGGATTGTTGTTGGTAGATGCCATCCCATTGGCTCTGACTCATAGTGACCTTATGCAAAACCGAACAAAGCACTGTCCAGTCCTGTGTTAGCCTCACAATCATTGTTAACCTTTGAACACACTGCTGCTGCCACTGTATCTCATAGGGGGTGCCTTCTCTTCGCTGCTGACCTCCTTCCTGAGTCTTTTGAGAAAATCTATCAAGACGACCCCTTTGGATCCCCAAACCAAGTTGCTATACCCTTCTGAGCTGATCTCTCTGCCTGGAATTTCACTGGACTAACAGATCCCCTCAGAAGCCACTGTTTGGAATGTAGCATTTTTTGGAAAACACCCTAAGGAGATGAAGACACGTGTGTTCCTGAGAGCACGTGTTTGCAGCCCTCCACCAATCACAGAGACACGTTTAAACATGTTGTGTTGGGAAGGAGCCTGTGTGAGGATGAGCTGGTAGCAATACTTTCTGACTGACCTCATCTATGGAAAGATGGAAGCAAATAGCTGCACCTGCACACACCCTCGCCTTCTCACATGCGCTCCTGTCTGGTGGGGGGAGAGGGTGGGGTTCAGGAGTATGAAATGAGGATCCAGGGCTCCCAACCACCAGGTGACAGCCCGGAGGAGACCCCAGGGTGCAGCCACCTCTTTACAACCTCTGCCTCCACACGGTGGTCCCAGGTTCACAGGAACCCCAAGAACTTGTTATTTGGAGGAAAAGAAATCACTTGACTCATGGCCAAGGTAACATGTCAGAGAAGTGGACCTGCATGCTCTAGTCTTCTGCTGCGGCCTGCTCACTGGTGGTAAAATGACACCCACGAGCCCCCGGGAGCCTGTTTGGCTGTGGCCCATGTCTACCCTAACTTGTCTGTCTTTGAGTCTGCAAGATACAGCCAGTGGGCCTGGTCACGTGGCTTTGGCTTCCTCATCTGTCCCCGAGGATACAAATACTTGTTGGGTAGTAAGGGGTTGATTCCAACACATGGCAAACCTCTAAGGAGCCCTGGTGGCACAGTGGTTAAGCGCTCATCTGCTCACCAGGAGGTCAGTAGTTTGAAGCCATCAGCTTCTTCTATAAAGATTCACAGCCCGGGAACCTAACAGGGCAGCTCTACTCTGCCTATAGGTTCGCTAGAGTCCGAATTAACTCAAGGCCAGGGGATTTAGGACTCTGTAGGACAGGGTAGACCGTCCCATAGGGTTTCCCAGGTGTGGTGTGGCACTGTAGGAGAATATACCAGACAGCAAAGTTGGTTAGAACTACATGGTGGACGGTTCAAACTCACCAGCTGCTCCTTGAAAACCCTAAACAGAGTCTCTGAGTCTGAACCAACTCGACAACACTTAAAAACAATCTTTATGGAAACATATTACTAGGTTTTTTCTCCGACAGAGTTGCTGGGTGGGTTTGAACCACCAAGCATTCTGTTAGCAGCTTACAGTTTAAGCATCATGTCACCAGGTGGTTATAACAATACCGTCCATGTTATAATGTTGTAGGGAGGAACAGTCAATGAATGGGAATACAGAGACCCCAGTTAGTCCGATGAACTATGAGCACAGTCCAGGCATGCACAGTTACGAGAATACTGTCAGCCCCAACACACAGTAACCCCATGAACAACAGAATTGAACGCTACCTAGCTGTGTGCACCCCTATGATGGATTTTCATCTTTGGAAGATCACCAGACCTTTCTTCCTACTGTGTGTCTGGAAGCCCCTCCAATCCCTCCAGAGCAACACAGAAGCTCCACTGACATCCAGGTGGTGGCTCTATCTGTATGAGATGTAGTGGTCAGGAACTCAACGCACATCTCCCCCTCGGAACATGGGAATTCTTCCCGGATCCCTCTCTTGTTGTTTGAAGTATTAACTATTATCATAATTAATCACAACAAATCTTATCCAAGGAGCCCTGGTGGGTTAATCATCCCCATGAGAAAGATGAAGCAGCACTAATGAACAAGTCTTCTCCTCCAAGGTAGACAACTGAAGGGCTAGAATGTAATGGCTCGGCCTCAGAACTTTTTATAGCTAAGGAAACCATTAGACCCTCGAGCTCAAAGAGTAGCCATCACGACCTCCAAGAGGTTTCAGAAACTCAGCATCTCATCAACCCATAAACCCACCACATGGAATCCATCCTGACTCACAGCAACGTGTAAAGCTCTGTAGGGCTGAGGAGAGCTGCACCATAGAGTTTCCAAAACTATGAATCTTTTTACGGGAGCAGACAGCTACGTAGCAGCTGGTGGGGTTGAACTGCCAACCTGTGGTTAATGCTTAATCCACTGTGCCAGCAGAGCTCCTTGTACCGACATAGAACCTGCATCTTAAGGACAGATCTGGGTGGCCCCAGAACACACAGGGGCGGCTCTCTGTTCTTAGAGATTATGCTATGCCAAGCTGGGTCACATCATGGGCATGGCCCCCACGGGCATCACCCCAGGTGGTCACATGGGAGCCACAGGGGGAGCTCCAACACATGGCCCCAAACATGAACCTAGGCATCCATCTCACAACCAGTCTGAGATTCCGCAGCTAAAAAGGCAGTGGCCTCACTAGGAGATCTGCACCCTGTCTTAAAGGACCTTCAGGGCAATGACCCGGAAGGAGAAGGCACTTACATTGACCCAGGGGTGCTCCAGGACCTGGATGGCGGAGAATCGCTGGTCCACATCCACCAGCAACATCATGGTGATGAGCTCCTATAGAGAGAGCAGGAGACCCCGTTAGCTACCTTTAAACCTGGGAGCTTTCAACACAGTCTCTCTAGGTTAGGAGAAGCATTTGGGAAAGCTTGTAGTCAGTTCCTTTAAGTCTGTTCCAACTCATGGTGCCCCGTGTGTGTCAGAGTAGAACTGTGCTCCACAGGGTTCTCAGTGATATTTCGTAAGTAAATTTGCATCAGGCAAATCTGCTACAATTGTTGTTGTTGTTAGGTGCCATCAAGTCAGTACCGACCCATAGTGACCTTATGCACAGCAGAACGAAACACTGCCCAATACGGGCCAACCTCACTACTGATGCCACGCTTGAGTTCATCGATGCTGCCACTTGGCCAATCCATCTCGTTGGGGGTCTTCCTTTTCTTCTCTAACCCTCCATCTTACCAAACATGATATCCTTCTCCAGCGACTGGTCCATCCTGACAATATGTCCGAAGTATGAGAGACAAAGTTTGGCCATCTTGACCTCCAAGGCGCACTCTGGCTACACTTCTTCCAAAAACGGATCTATTGGTTCTTTTGGCAGCCCATGGCGCTTTCAATATTCTCCTCC